GGGTGCAGATGGTGGACGCGTTCCTGCTTTATCTGACGCATCCTGGTATTATCTGACGCATCCTGGTATTATCTGACGCATGATAATGCTGCAACAACCACGAAATGACCTTAAAATAATGATAAAATTTAAGTACCTAAAATCCATTATCAAGATCAATGACTATAAATACAAAATCGAAATGAATGACCTGATCACGAGAATAAAACTTACGAATGACAGGATTTTTTTTACACTCGCAAACATCTCCCTGGCGATGAAAATTCTCATGATGCTGAGACACAGCTAATATTGCACAAGACAACAATGCCGAGACGAAAGAGTAAACCAATTTTAGCTTCGAGGTAATAATGTCAGTTAAAACCCACGGTTTTCCAGTGAATTTATAAACTACAAGACAGGTAAAGCGTTCCTATTCACAGTAACGTGGTGGAATCGAACTTCGCAACTGCTACATTCCTCTGGTGAAAATCTATAGCCTTAATCTCCTCTGGAATACGTTAACCTCCTAAATTAATGCCTAGCTACCCTTCGATCTCCTTTTGTTTCCACCATCAAAAATACTGCCAGCAAGGGCGATCAGCATTAGCAACGTCTTGCGGGTATAGGATATAAAATCCTCTCTATACATTAGCCCGCCAAGTCAACAAAAGCCGAGCAACATTTTAGGAAGAAATTTCCTTAAGAAATAATAGATGTGATACTAAGACAGCCGCCAGATTTTCTTACCTTCACGGGTGATCGTAAATCCTTGAGAGCTTCCACGAGGCGCTACAAGACCAACACTGAACCTTCCGAGAAAATATATCTGGGCCCTAATGTAATATTTTCTCTCTGTTTCCGTGTCTTAAATGACGTGGCAGGATGTGAGCTGCTGGAGAAGGTGGAGTGTTGGCCAGCCTCGGTAAGGTACTGTGCCGAGATTAAATGTTCAAGACAAACCTGGGATAAAAATAGCTAATTCAACAGAGTATATATATATATATATATATATATATATATATATATATATATATATATATATATATATATATATATATATATATATATATATATATATATATATATATATATATATATATATATATATATATATATATAACCCGAATCTCTCAAGCCAATCTACTAACAATTTTATGCAGAATGTGAAGGTAACAGTGAAGCATGAGAGGTGAGATGCATCCATCAGGAGAGAAACATTATCCTCACATCTTCCTCCAGAGCGTAAAAGCAACCTTAATATACTGTGAACCTCGGAAAACAGGCGAGCTTTACCAAAAGGTTTCCTTGCTTTATTTCCAAGACGCGACTGGGTGATCAATCATTGAAAAGGAGCCGTAACAACCAAGTCATTAGGGCAATAAACACAATATTAGCCACATTTTTCGGCCAGGCTCACAAGACTCGGCACCCATACCCAAGGGGTATGATCAAACCAGAGGGGAGAGTGCTCTGTGGCTCAACGTTAGCGGAGACGAAAAGGGCAGCACCAGCAACAATCAACTGAATATACGGCAGTTGTGGTACCCTTACGCTAGGGGACACCTGTGACGGGGGACACCTGCACTAGGGGACACATGTGACGGGGGACACATGTGACGGGGGACACCTGTGAGTTGGGGGGACACATGCGCTAGGGGGACACATGTGAGGGGGGACACCTGCACTAGGAGACACCTGCACTAGGGAACACCTGCACTAGGGAACACCTGCACTAGGGAACACCTGCACTAGGGAACACCTGCACTAGGGAACACCTGCACTAGGGAACACCTGCACTAGGGAACACCTGCACTAGGGGACACCTGCACTAGGGGACACCTGCACTAGGGGACACCTGCACTAGGGGACACCTGCACTAGGGGACACATGTGAGGGGGGACACCTGCACTAGTGGACACCTGCACTAGGAGACACCTGCACTAGGGGACACCTGCACTAGGAGACACCTGCACTTGGGGACACCTGCACTAGGGGACACCTAGCAACAGTCTCACCCCTACATGGACGTCAACCAGCTGTTCTCTGGTGTGTCTCCTACACTTAAACTACATTTTATCATACCAAAACAAGTTTGTTCCTCCAAAGACATTAACTATCCTCGAAGACACTGGTACTAGCCCAGGGGGAGTTAACATCCAGCTTTTTGACTCGTATTCAAGCAGTAGCTAAGCAGAGCAGCAGAGTAGAACAGCCCAACGAAGCAGCAGAGCAGAGCTTCTGAACAGAGTAACTCTGACATAATAAAAACACACACACACGAGGTTGGGGCCTCGCGGCTGAGTGGAGAGCGCTCGAGGGTCGTAGTCCCAATGGCCCGGGTTCGATTCCCGGGGGAGGCTGAAACAAATGGGCAAAGTTTCTTTCACCCTGGTGCATCTGTTCCTTAGCAGTAAATAAGTACCTGGGAGTTAGACAGCTGATACGGGCTGCTTCCTGGGGACGTGTGTGTGCGTGTGTTAAGAGAGAAATATATGAAGTAGATATAATAGAGGAAAAG